CAGTCTAGGGCTCTTGGCTGAAGAGGCCTTGCCATTCACATGGAATTATCAAGAGCAGTGCTGAAGAGCACAGCTCAAGTCGGGAGGGTCTGGGTTCGAATCCCGACTGCCTACACTTTGGCTGGGTGACCTCAATAAGCTGCTTGACTTCTCCGTCCATAGTAGATCTGCTGTGTCCTGGAGCTGGGTTGTCCCTGGCAGAGGGCTGGGTGTTCAGATGTCTTCCCAGTTGTGTTCACTGATGCCATGCTGGCTATGGTGGGAGTTTTTACACCAGGAAGATTGGCAAACCAAATCTCCCATTGCCGACCCTTACACACAGAGCATTAAACATTTACCATTAAACATTTACCACTTCATGTTTCCTCATTTGTACAGTGAAGTTGACAACACCCATCGCATCCAGAGGTTGAATCGAAAGGACTCATGGGAAGCACATGTAAGAGTCCCTAATACACGATGGTGTTCTAATTCTTTAAGCCATGTAATAACAGCCCTATTACTGTTGAGAATATTCTTTGCGGGGAGTGGGGTGCACAGACGTAAGATTTGATTTGCTCTCACACTGGATGGCACAACCATTTAGCCTCCTGGTATCTGTTTTGCCGCTGGGGCTCAACTGTCATGGCGGCCAGTTAACCTGCTCAGAAATTCGAGTTCTAGAACTGTGTGTCCTGACTCAGATAATGGGCCAGTGGTGGCAGAGTGAAGCCAGAGTTTCGGAGGAAAAGTATGTGCATGGTGCATAGGAGGGGGGATGTACCTCAATCCGACTTTGGAGAAGAGGGACCACAACGAGAGAGTGCTGGAGTGCAAAGGGCTGTAAGAGACCACACAGTCCAAACCCTTGTTCTACCGATGAGGAGACATACACTCTCAGATGGGGGCTTGGCTTTTCCTCTGCTACTGCTGTTCCAGGTTCCCTTTTCTCCCTTCCTTCCTTTCCTTCCTTCCCTTTCCTTCCTTCCTTCCTTCCTTCCTTTCTTCCTTCCTTCCTTCCTTCCTTCCATCCTCCCGCCCTCTCTTTCTCTTTCTTTCTTTCAAGATTTTATTAATTTGAGAGAGAGAGAGCAAGCAAGAATGAATGGACGGGGGCAGAGGGAGAGGGAGAAGCAGACTCCCCACTGAGCAGGGAGCCTGACCCTGGGCTTGATCCCAGGACATTGGAGTTAATGACCTGGGTGCAAGGCAGACACTTAACTAACTGAGCCACTCAGGCATCCCTTCCTTTTTTTTTTTTTTTTTAAGATTTATTTATTTTAGAGATCATATATTGGGAAAGGCAAGAAGAGGGGCAGAAGGAGGGAGAGAATCCCAAGCAGATTCTATGCTGAGCATGGAACCCAACATGGAGCTCAATCCCACAACCTAAGATTATGACCTGAGCTGAAACCAAGAGTTGGATGCTTGATGGACTGTCACCCAGGTACCCTTCCAGTTTCCTTTTTGACCAGGTTAATGCAACACTGTCTGGAAGAGATATCTGTATCCCCATGTTCACTGCAGCATTGTTCATAAGAGCCTAGACATGGAAACAACCCGTCTATTGATGGGTAAATGGATAAAGATAAAATACATATGTGTATATACACAGTGGAATATTATTCAGCCATAAAGAGGGAAATTCTGCCATCTGCAACAACGTGGATGGACCTTGAGGGCATTATGCTAAGTGAAGTAAGTTAGGCAGAAAAAGACAAATACTGTATTATCTTAATTATATGTGAAATCTAAAAGAAACAAAGTCCTGGAAATAGAATAGATTGATGGTTGCCAGATGTGGAAGATGGAGGGTGGAGGAAATGGGTGAAGGTGGGGGAAAAAAAAATGACTTAAAAGAGGAGGGATCATATTCCACATTAGAAGTTTTAAGCTGCCTTTGGGCAGGATCATAGCTCCATACTTTGCATTCAGCCAGCTTAAATAGCTACTTTTTTTTTTTTTTTTTGCTTAATGACTCTCTTATGAATTAGCCAATTTCCATGAATATGGAATGACTTACTGGATGTCATCTTAAAACATAAAAACAGGGGCACCTGGGGGGCTCAGTGGGTTAAGCCTCTGCCTTTGGCTCAGGTGGTGATCTCGGTGTCCTGGGATCAAGCCCCGCATCGGGCTCTCTGCTCAGCAGGGAGCCTGCTTCCCACCCCTCTCTCTGCCTGCCTCTCTGCCTACTTGTGATTTCTGTCTCTGTCAAAAAAAAAAAAAAAAAAAAATCTTAAAAAACAAAAAAACCCCATAAAAACAAAAAACCAGTACACGAGATGGTATAAAGACCGGAAAGACACAACACAACCCAAAATGCCAACAATGTGTGTCTTTGGATAGTGTTAGTAAGACAAAGCTGGCTTCGAATTCTGGTTCTGCTGCTTCCTGGCGGTGTGACCTTATGCACGTGGTTCACCTTCTGAGCCTGTTTTCTCCTTTGTGGGATGAGAAGGCAAGCCCTTCCTGTCCCCCAGTGGGTTGATGTGAGAATTGTGAAGAGACATCTATAAAGTGCACGTCACTATCTGTTACAGACTCTCTACCACTCAATCAAAGAACCATCCTAGACATTTGTCCATCAGATCGGAGGCCCTCTGATGCTCCCCTGCCTCTGGCTATTTCTTTGATTTCCCGTGCTTTTTCCAGAAGGTATACCCGGGAAAAAACAGCTCATGATGTCAGGAAATCTAGCATTGAAGCCAGCATTTAAGTGAGGTTTCTAAGTCCATCTCACTGGGAAGAATGAGCTCAGATCTTGGAATTGTGAGGGTAAGTATGCCCTAAACCTGAAAGTTGCATTCCTTTTTCATGGGGGGGGAGAAAATATTCACCTTTTCAGAGACAGCAAAGTAGAGAGAACATGACCAGACCATACTCAAATCCATATAAAACTTTTATTTAAAAAAGTCCTATAAAATAATAAATGCAGATTTCCCCATCTAGTGTAGCTAAGAAAGAAGAGGAGGCTGAAAGTCACACATTAATTTAAAATTTCATCATAGGGAGTCAGATGACCTTTTGCAACCAATGTTAAAAAAAAAGTCCTTAAGTTGCTCTTTGGAATAGCAGCATTTAAGGTTTTCTTGTCCCACTTGTTTATTCCTTTGCGATGTGGTGGTGTGTTCAGGGAAGAAACGTTCCTCGGAAAGTTTGGTTAAAACCAGTCCGCTCCTTTGAGTGTTTTCATGGAACTGTCAGACAACCTGAAGAGCTAAGGATGAGAGTCCCACTGAAGGTCTAGCTTTGGTAAATGAGGCAGGGCTGTCCCAGGTGGCAGACAGGTAAAGTGTGACGTCCAGGAGCATCAGTTTCATGTAGGGCCTGACGTTCTCTTAAACACCTGACTTAGGTTCTAAAATAGTAGAGCCCGAGTCGATACCCAAATGACCAACACTGAGATGAACAGTAAGCTCAGCACTAGTTTCTATACAAACATTTCAAACGAAGGTCTTTATGGTGTGGATCAGATCTGCCATGTGCCTAAGCCGTCTCCAAGTTTAAGCGAGGCCTCGGAAGTTCATCTGGTGCCTGGAGGGTTTTCATGAACCTGCACCTCTAAGGAGAGGCTGAAAGGAGGAATTTCAAGGGACAGCTTCCAGCCCAGGGCCCGGGGTTCCCTAGACCAGGCTGTCCTAATGCGGCTCCCAGAGCGGTGGAAGATCTCGGTTTCTCAAAAGAAAGTGACAGGTGACGTTTTGGGGGCATCTGAGCTCTGGCCAGGCCCCCAGAGTTTTGCATCGTAAAAGAATTTCAAAATGGAAATGGAGCCTCTGCTTTACTCCTGCAGCCCAAGTCCTTTCTGGGACAGAACATTTATAAAAACGTAATTAAATACCGTCTGGGATTTCCCTCTACCCCGGATATCGATTCTTTCCTTCTCAAAACCCACTCCTCTCATAGGTGACAAACCAAAGCTGAAAATGACAATGATTACCTGGCTCATGCCCGTGGCTTGAGGCAGAGATGACAGAACGAAAAGCAGAGAAAACAGAAGTCTGTTATCGGCTCCTGATTTACAAAATGCATGCAGAAGTCAGCAGGGAAGCCGTCAGCCCTTGAACTTGGTGGTCTTTGAGAATGGGCTTGTCCTTCTCTCCCTGACCAGCTGTGAGGAAGACCCCACAGTAACCCCCGATGTGGGGCGGTGCTTCTTAGGAACAGAGAGAACTGGGCCCATCCCACTCCGAGGAGCAGCAGTTGGGATCTGCCGCTGGGTTGAGGAATGGATTTCCCTGTACCTTTGTGTCACCCTGTCATCAAGAAAGGCATGAAGGTGGCTGAGGGACCTCCCAGGAATGGAATAGGACTCGTGGTATAACCTGAGGGGGCCAATGTCCAAGGCCAGATGGGTCTGTAGTCACCTCTGCAGAAGTCACTGTGAGCTGATGACCTTGAAGGCCACTGCTCTGACCCCTTGTCACCAACCAGCATGCGGTAATTCCACCTCTCCCCTCCCCACCCCCAGGCCTTGACCTATAGGGAAAAAGTCTAGGTGTATGTGAGGACCCCCTCTGTCATTTTCACAGGATGGGAGCTAAAAGCAGTTGTGTTAGGAAAGATCAATTACTTTTCATACCTGAGTTATGGAATAAGATCTGTCCTTGGCCACCTGTGCTTTCGACCTTTCTGTCTTTCGCCGACTTAGCAACAAAGCGGAGAAGCACACTGGTGGCTTCTAGCCAGAGACCTGCAGGTTCTGCAAGTCAGAGAACGGTGGCTGCAGGCTGGGCCATAGAGTAATCTTTTGAGTTCTAGCCTGTCTCCCACCTACCCATTTTGAAGAAAAGGCAACTGAGGGCCCTTCTGTCACTGGTAGGATAGAGGAAAGTAAGGAAAAGGAGGTATTGGGCAGGGTATCTGGAATGAGATGAGGCCCTCATCTGACAGACCAGTGGTGAGTACGTGCTGTCCGTCAGGCTGCAGTGCATACCGTGCGAGCCAAGGAGCCCATCTGTTCAGGGAGGACCATCCTTGGCTCACTGTCTGTGTGGGCTGGTCAGTTTTGCATGAATTCATTCCTGACCGCCAGTCAGCTTGTGGAACAGGTCCTCGTCAAGGGTCTCATTCTGGTCCTTAGACCGAGTAGACAAGAAAATATAGCCACCGATGTACTCATGCACGATCTTGCAATCTGCACTCAGACAGGTGAACGCAATGGAGACATTCTGGTCAAATTCGATTGCCACCTGGAAGAGGAAGGCACAGGTGAGCTTGAACTCTGAGCTTTAAGGTAAGCTTAAACATTTAAAAGAAAATGAGGGAAAAACTGCCTTGGGATGGCCCCCAGAGCTGAGGACTGCTTAGGTGACTTACAGCTGATTTCCCTCCCCCTCTTGCCCCCCAAAATTTGCACAAAAAAAATCAACCAACACACACACACACCCAAGCATCACTTCCATTGAACGCTTCCAGCAAACAAGTCTTTGCTCTCTGCACGCCCTCTTGTGTCAACTATGCCGTACAGCAGGCAAAACATTCTAACTCCCAACATGCAGAGGTATTTTAGGTCGCTCTTGTTTACTACAAAGCTGTGATCACCAAGATAGCATGGTACTGGCATAAAAACAGACACATAGACCAGTAGAACAGAGTAGAGAGCCCAGATATGGACCCTCAACTCTATGGTCAAATAATCTTCAACAAAGCAGGAAAAAATATACAGTGGAAAAAAGACAGTCTCTTCAATAAATGGTGCTGCGAAAACTGGGCAGCTATATGTAGAAGAATGAAACTCAACCATTCTCTTACACCGTACACAAAGATAAACTCGAAATGGATAAAAGACCTCAACATGAGACAGGAATCCATCAGAATCCTAGAGGAGAACATAGGCAGTAACCTCTTCGATATCAACCACAGAAACTTCTTTCAAGATATGTCTCCAAAGGCAAAGGAAACAAAAGTGAAAATGAACTTTTGGGACTTCATCAAGATCAAAAGCTTCTGCACAGCAAAGGAAACAGTCAACAAAACAAAGAGGCAACCCATGGAATGGGAGAAGATATTTGCAAATGACAGTACAGACAAAAGGCTGATATCCAGGATCTATAAAGAAGTTTTCAAACTCAACACACACATAACAGATAATCATGTCAAAAAATGGGCAGAAGACATGGACAGACACTTCTCCAATGAAGACATACAAATGGCTATCAGACACATGAAAAAATGTTCATCATCACTGGCCATCAGGGAGATTCAAATCAAAACCACATTGAGATACCACCTTACACCCGTTAGAATGGCCAAAATTAGACAGGAAACAATGTGTGTTGGAGGGGATGTGGAGAAAGGGGAACCCTCTTACACTGTTTGTGGGAATGCAAGCTGGTGCAGCCACTTTGGAGAACAGTGTGGAGATTCCTTAAGAAATTAAAAATAGAGCTTCCCTATGACCCGGCAATTGCACTACTGGGTATTTACCCCAAAGATACAGATGTAGTGAAAAGAAGGGCCATCTGTACCCCAATGTTCATAGCAGCAATGGCCACGGTCGCCAAATTGTGGAAAGAACCAAGATGCCCTTCAATGGATGAATGGATAAGGAAGATGTGGTCCATATACACTACGGAGTGTTATGCCTCCATCAGAAAGGATGAATACCCAACTTTTGTAGCAACATGGACAGGACTGGAAGAGATTATGCTGAGTGAAATAAGTCAAGCAGAGAGAATCAATTATCATATGGTTTCCCTTATTTGTGGAGCATAACAAATAACACAGGATATGGGAAGATGGGGAGGAGAAGGGAGTTGAGGGAAATTGGAGGGGGAGATGAACCATGAGAGACTATGGACTCTGAAAAACAATCTGAGGGTTTTGAAGGGGCGGGGAGTGGGAGGGTGGGGGAGCCTGGTGGTGGGTATTATGGAGGGCACGTATCACATGAAGCACTGGGTGTGGTGCATAAACAATGAATTCTGTTACACCGAAAAGAAATTAAATTAAAAAAAAAAAAACAACTTCCTAAGCATGCCCTCTGTCAAGGGGCAGGGTGCTTTGCAGACTTTTTAATGGAAATAAAAGGCTCACCTGAATTTTCCTACCCCCAACAGCCCTGCACCATTTTCCAGCTGAAAGCTGTAAACTCTAAACTCTAGAAGAAACAGATTTCCCTGCTTCTCAACCCTGGTTGCCCAGTGGAATCACTGGTGGACCTTTAAAAATTGCTGCCTTGTGCCCACTCCCAGAGACTGGGATTTAAGGGGTCTAGGGTGTGGCCTGGGCCCGTGTGTTAAAGCTCCCTGTGTGATCTTAATATGCAAGGTTTTAGAGCCACTGCCTGAGAGGTCACCTGATCTCAAACTTTTATTCTATAAATGAGTTATCAGCCCTGCTGAGAGGATTCCAGGGTTAAAAAAAAAAAAAAAAAGAAAAGAAAGGTGGGAGTCCCCTCCCCTCCCTCTAAGGTAGAGAGCTTTCTTCTGGGAAAACGAGATAACAAAGGAGGAAGGATTCTAGATCAGCAACATCAGAACATCTTAAATCAGCTGGACGCTCAAGTGCCTCTGACTTGATCTAGAATTTCCCATGCTATAGCCTTGGCTTGGACTTAGCTCCCCGGGTGCAAGTGCAATGGATGGGAGACAGAGGGCTTGCGGGCTCCTTAACTCAGGAGGCAAAGCTTTTCTCAGTCGTCCCTGCTCCCCTCACTTGCTTCTCTGGCAGCCTATCCCTGTGGGGACTGGAATGCTCCCCAGGTGCGCAGTTGAGCGTCTGAGTCCTCAACCGGTTAGACCTCCAGTCAGTGAAGCCTCTTTGGACTCCTTTTGGGTGACAGCGCCAACTCAGGAGATTTCTGTGAAGCATTTTTCTTTTTTATTTTTTTAAAGATTTTATTTATTTATTTGACAGAGAGAGAGATTACAAGTAGGTAGAGGAGGCAGAGAGAGAGAGAGAGGGAAGCAGGCCCCCCGCTGAGCAGGGAGCCCGACGCGGGACTCGATCCCAGGACCCCGAGATCATGACCTGAGCTGAAGGCAGCGGCTTAACCCACTTAGCCACCCAGGCGCCCCTGTGAAGCACTTTTCAGTGTCTTATATAAGCCTCTGCTGAGTGGAAGGAAACTAATCTAACTGCTCGGTGGTTTAGAGTCTGTATGGAAAGCCCGGATGGAGACTAAGCCAACTTGCGGTGTTCATTCCGAGATCATTTGGCCTGTGCGTGTTAGCAAACTGTCCAGACCTGCACGTGATTAGTTTAGCAGACAATGAGCACAGGCTTGTGGTTTCTGAGTTCTCCATATATGAACAGAGTAATCTACAATTCGGACGGAACACGCATTTATAGCCTCGACACTGAATACACCGAAAACGTTCTACCTGCCGGATTTCCCAGTTTACGTTCCACTGTTTCATATTTGTGAATCTCCATGTTGTCATTGGAATCCCGGTGGCTGCATCGATTCTAATCAGCCTGTTATATGAAACTCCCAGGATATCATCTTTCTTGCTCCCTTTAAATCTTAAAAAAAAAAAAAAAATGAATGAAAAGCAACTGCTACATGAGGTTCATTCATACACAACTTCTTAAAGATAACAGGAACATTTCTAAATGACATCCGAAGAATGGACAGTGAGGGTTTAACTCTTCCACAGAAGGGAATTTTTATTGTGATAGGAAGAGAATATCAAGAATGGAGAGAATTAAGGCTGTCCTGCAGACATCCTTTACGTGAAACTGATGTCAGAGGGAAGCGAAGTAAGAGAGGGTCAAGTCAATGAATTTAAAATCCCCTGTGTCTGCCAGGCACCCTTCTAGGCACAGGGAATACATTAGCGACCTAACTGGATAGACAATGTCTCACTTCTGGAGCTTGTATTCTAGGGGCGAGCGGGTCATGACTAAGTGGAAAAGATATGGCAGGTCAGATCATGAAGGCAAATAAAGCATAGGAGGGGGACAGGCAATACTGGCCATGAGGGGGTTACCATTTTAAGAAAAGGGAGTCAGGGAAGACTGCAGTGAGCGAGGACATTGATTAAAGATGTCAGGGAACGAGCCACATGGGTATTGGGGGAAGAGTACTGGGGACAGAGGGTACAACCAGGGCAAGGCGGCAGCTTTCTTTTTTTTGGGGGGGGGCATGCTCATGAACCTGCCAGGAGGCCAGTATGGCTGGGCACAGTGAGGGAGGGGCAGAGGATGTGAAATCCCAGAGCTAAGGTCTTACAGGGCCATTGTTAAGGATTTGGCTTATATGCCGAGTGAGCCAGAAGGCCTTCAGATGGTTCTGGGCAGATGCCTGCTGTGGTTTGACACAGGTCTTAAAAGGATCACTCTAGCAGCCAACCTAAAAACTCAGGGGGACAAGGAGAGAAGCAGGGAGCCTGGGTAAGTACTGTGAAGAGAAGGTATGGAAGATCGTTACGAGCAGATGATGTGTTGGGGCCATTTGTGAGAGGACCTTCCTTTATTTTATTTTATTTTATTTTATTACGTATTTGAGAGAGAGAGAGAGGGAGAGAGAGCACAAGCTGCAGGGAGGCGCAGAGGGAGAGGGAGAAGCAGGCTCCCTGCAGGAAGCCCGATGTGGGGCTGGATCCTAGGACCATGGGATCATGACCCGAGCCAAAGGCAGATCCTTAACCGACTGAGCCAGGCACCCGAGAGGCCAGTGTTCTAAAATTACAGAGAGTTCTACATTCTAGACTGAGAATAAACTGGGATCTGAGAAAGGCACCTGGAGACAAACAGGAAGTGAGAGGGGCTGGTGAACAGTGATCACCTGACAAGGTAGTAGGTGAGGCCAAATTCTGGCAGAGACTGCCACGCCTGGATGAACCGCAGCTTGGCTTCGACCAGCGGCATCTGGGCCACGTTCTGGTGGGCTTCTAGAATCCGGGCTGCCAGCTGAGCAGAAGTGGAGAACATTGAACCGCCCTTAGCATACCCTCACTGTTCTGTAATCATCCTTTTACCTCAGGTCCCCAGGGAGAAACATAAATGCAAGGCCAACTGCAACTCTACAAAGACAATTAATTCCCATTCATTCATCCTCTGTTCTTCTCTGTAATTCACTGGGGAGAAGAAGGAATCACATCAGCCAACACATAAACCCTGAGGTTCATGGATGATGGAGGGTTCTCGCTCCCTCCTTTTGTATGGTGTCCGTGGACAGTGGTTTCTCTTGAATCAGTTTATCTGTATAACTTTCAACCCCCTCTCATGGAAGCATCATTTAAATTTTTAACTTCTGGGGACTCAATGATTTTAATGAAATCTGGGAATACTGCCATGTTCAGTTAGCAGTAGTCAGCTCTACCAAAGGGAAAAATAATTTCTTAACATCATCTAATACCGAGTCCATAGGTAAAAATCCCCATCAGCCGATTTTTCATGCTGATGGCCTCGATCATTTTAATTCCTCATTTTATCTCAGAAAATACAGCATTTACTGCAAACAGTCTGCTCCAACAAGATTAGCGGTACCTGCTTTGACTTGTGTTTTTTTGCACACCGAGGTGACACAAAACATTCAGGGTTCATTTCCATGGTTTCGTTATTGGAAGCCACCTGAGATGTCGAGTTCCGATTTTTCATCCTCAGAAATGAAAGGATGTTGAGGACCTCTGGCTGGTAGGAGCTGTCTGCCATGGTTTTGCCCTTTGATGCCAGGATGCAGGCAGCCATCCATTGCGCATACTGGTTCTCCTGAAGCAAACATCAGAGGGCTGAGACACAAATTCAAGTGCAAAGTGCCACCCTGCTGGGAACCGACCAGGATGTGAGCTCTCAGCTCTACAATACACAAAACTGTCAGCTACTGAGTGAGGCAAGAGGTGAAGTGCCCCATGTTCTGAGTGGCTGTTTAACACCCAACAGGAATTGGGTGTTTTGAGTTCTGTGTGGAGTTTCTCTATGCTAAGGGGCTAGAGAATAGGAATGTCAGTTGTGACCCAGAGAACTTTGCATTGAAAGATGAACCCAGGACACAGGTGTACCATGGAAGACAGGTGAAAACCCAAGCTACCTGACAGCCTTCCTTGATACCTGTTTCCATTTTCATATCATGTCAGATCTCTGTGACAGAAGGAAAGGGAAAAACAAATGAACTGATTTCCCATATTCTGTCTACCCTGGCCTATCCTTAGTAAAGATTCTGATCCCAAGGGAGGAATCAGGTCCACTGGCGGGCTCTGAACCAGTCAGTGGTGGTCTCTATTGCTCTTGAACGTTTGCGTTCATTTTTTACCTCAGGGAGCAAAGGGGTGTGGTTCTAGAAGCTGAGGGGATGCAGCTGGAGAGCGGAAGTCTTCAGAGCAACAGTCACTGTGGTGCACTGAATTACTGACCTCAGTCTTCATCTTCCTGGTATCCGTACTTTCTGCCATGGAATTTTACAGTCTGTCTTATTAGAGACAGAGTGTAATTTCCCACCTCTTGTCTTTGGACATGCTTTAGCCAACAGAATGTGGGTGGAAATAACAGTGTACTACCTGCCGGCCTGAGCTTTAGGTCGTCCGCCATGTTTGTAATTCCTCCCTTGCATTTCTGCCATCATTATGAGCAGAGCCTCCCCAGGCAGCCTGGCACTTCCAGCATAAATACAAGGAATTTCACTTCCAGCAAGGAGCCAAGCCTAGCCAGGCCTACAGCTGGAAGCAGATCTGTCCAGGGGACGTGTGGTTGGATCACTGGAGCCCTAGCCTACTTGCCGTCGGCTCAGAGGCAAATGTTTATTGGTATATGACGTTTTGATTTTGTGGCTGATTGTTACAAGGCAGTAACTGACTGATGAGTGCTCTGATTGGAAAAAAACATCTCAGCTGGTTTGTCCTTAGGCTGAAGAAAAGTAAAGGGACTTAGCATTTTTTTTTTTTTTTTTGGATTTACTTACATGGTCACATCTCAGATACACTTCATTCATACCATCAGCAACAGGGATTAGTAACTTGATTCCAAATTTTCTCCCTGCTACATTGACGTCTGGCACAACTTCACAGCCTGAATGATAAAAGGCAGGAACAAAACTGAGTTCTGAGAAATGTGTTCTGTAAATCAGATGTGCATCTAAAAGAAACACTTTGAACATAAGCCTTTGGCATTTGCTTCTTTTCTGAAAAATTGAGGACAAGCAGATAACATTAATTAAAGAGGAACTAAATAAGACTCATGAACAATTCATGTGGATAACAAAAAAAAAATCTTCTGTTATGATTTTCTTAAATATGTCATCAATTGAATTCATTTTCCAGGTCAATTTGGCTATCCTGAACTCATTGTAACATGGAGTTATGAATATGAACTTTTAAATAAACCCACATAGAGGGAATTCTCTTACTGTCACAATGCTAAGGGAACTGAGTGCCCCGGTTAATTAAATATTTCAGTTAATGGAGTTACCAGCACAATCATGGCCATTTTCAGAAATTAGAACAGAAACTAAAGTGACATTGAATTAAACATAACCCTTCTGGAATGCAGGAAGTTTTCAGGACCCTACAATCCCTCATGTACTATGTGGATGACACCAACTGTCACCACTTCAGAGACTTGGATATGCTGGGGAAGAAGGGACAGCAGAATGGAAATAATCACATTTATCGCTCCACATTCCAGGCCCATGCTCCATGAAGCAAAGCTGAAGGCAGGCTGCCATGTGGGAACCAGTGAAATAGAGGGGCTCCCCTCCTTCAGGGGGTAAGAGTTTGGCTTTCATGGCTGGGTGATGACAAGCCATACCCAGATATAATACTTTCTTACCTCTAAGATTTAGTTTTTCTACTGGTTCTCCTTGCTCAAGTTCCTTATTTTTAAAGTAGGCTATAGATGTGTCTTTAAAGATGAACCAATATTGTTTGAAAGCCTTTAAGATCAGCTTCTTGGGCCTGCAAATTAAAGTAAAGTAAGCATTTTAACAGCTATCCAGAAATGGAGGGACACATCGCAAATTTCACGTGGCTCGAGATGTTCTGGAAACCTGGTCAATTAACATATTCTGTATTGTTGAAAATAAATTTCACATTGCTAACTCATTTCTAAAAACTGAAAATGGGGTTTTTAATAGACGTAGTAGTTACTGCAGAATCTCAGGGTTTCAACCACTTTGGCTTTGCTACTGCCTGACATGTGACCCTGAGGTAGACACTTCCTCTGCCTGGGCCGCATGTCCCGCCTCTGTGTGATGGGGACAGTACCAGCCTCCAGCTCATAGGGCTTCTGTGAGAATGGGAAGAGGTAATCTCTGAGGGTGCTATCACAGGACCTGGCATAACTCAATAAATAATAATAACGATATATAATATAAGTAATATAATAAATAAACATAATGATAAATAATTATTATTAGAGAAACATCTATGGATCTGGAGACATCTGTCATTTCAGTATACTTCTTGGATCTGAGAAAGCTTTCCATATGGATGGCACAGCTTTCAAGGTATCAGGCATAAACACTAGATCTAAAAGTAAGCAAATTTTTCTGTAGTTTCCTCTTGATCCTTAAGAGAAACCGCCATAGGGGGCACCTGGGTGGCTCAGTGGGTTAAAGCCTCTGCCTTCGGCTCAGGGCATGATCCCAGGGTCCTGGGATCAAGCCCCACATCGGGCTCTCTGCTCAGCGGGGAGCCTGCTTCCCCCTCTCTCTCTCTGCCTGCCTTACTGCCTGCTTGTGATCTCTGTCAAATAAATAGATAAAATCTTAAAAAAAAAATAGAGAGAAACCGCCATAGAATTCCCAGTAAGTCATAGAAATCACAAAAATCTACAGCTAATCTATACAGATTTTATTGTTACTAAAAAACATTTTGAGGGGTAAGATTCCCAAAAGTGAGACATGTGGGGGCCAGAACACTTTGCAATTTGGGCTGGACAAGGTTGGTAGGGCTAATGGCAGGTCTCAGTTGGGTCATTCAAAATAGAAAATGTGAGACAGAGCTGGGGAGTAGGAAAGGGGATACAGCTGGGCAAAGAAAAGGTAATATGAACTGTCATGGTTCCATGGGACAGTGCTGGCTGGCCATGGGGGTAGGTCAGGGTCTCTTATCTAAAGCAGTAGATTTCTGCACTCATGAATGAGACAAAGGGGGAAAACCTGGTGTTGACCCCACTTATACATAATTTGGGGCAACTTTTCTGACATGTCAGTCCTGGATTTTCCTTAGCTAAGAATGTGTTATCCTTAACAGAAAGATAAGGGAGAAGATGATCATTTAAAAATTGGTGTACTACATAAAAAGTATAAAATAAAATTGGAAAACATTATAGGCAGTTAACATTTCCAAGATTTAGAAAACCGCTGCATTAAAGTAATATTTGTCATTATTTTATATTTATATTTATTTAAATAATATTTGTCATGTTCAAAGTTGTAGTTATAATTCCAAGAAACGTATTTAGAATCAGGTTCTCCAAAATTAATAGTATTTTCAAAATAGAATCTAAAGACAAGCCTATAACCAAAAGATAGTAAGGTCTTGGTTTAGTCCTAGGCATTTAAATATTTCATTCAGAATTAAGACTGAAACTCTGTGTCTCCATTCCAACTGGACTCTGAGAGTATGGACAGATTCCCTCTGCTACCGTCTCCCAGTTTAGCTCGTCTTTCAGGCTATTTCCATTCATTCCCAAGGCTAATGATTACTGCTCCTGTTCCATGGTCCAGAGGCTGGGGCAGGACAGGGCTGGGGAAGAAGTGGAGAAGGTGGCTGGCTGGAGCATGATACCCACAGAATGCAGCAGTCATCTGAATCCTCATGGAGCCCATAGGGTCAAGAGGGCTCATGAAGAGATAAAATATGCGAAGTCACCTAATGAGGATGTGCGGCATGAGGAGTTACAGGGGACACAGCATGTAAACAGAGAATGAAGGATGGATAAGACTTTGATTGGAGGAGGGGCGCCTGGGTGGCTCAGTGGGTGAAAGCCTCTGCCTTTGGCTTGGGTCGAGCCCCTCGTCTGACTCTCTGCTCAGCAGGGAGCCTGCTTCCTCCTCTCTTTCTGCCTGCCTCTCTGCCTACTTGAGCCCTCTGTCTGTCAAATAAATAAATAAAATCTTAAAAAAAAAAAAGACTTTGGAGGAAAGGGAAGAGAATTTCAGAAGGCGGCAACTGCACGAGCCAAACATAGAGGTGAGTCAGAGCTGGCCCCTTGTGAACCAGAGTTGGGTCAAACACATTTTGAACTCCTACCTCCCCCTGGGCACTGTGCAGAACAGTGGAAATGGGGGCGGGGAGAGCTCTTCTGTAGTTACAGCATTTCCACAGGTGAGGGATGATGGAGACAGGAATAGCAAGATAGTTTGGGGCCAGGGTTGGACTTCGCATGTCTGGCTAAGGCACTGGACTTTATTTTCTAGAATAATGGCTCTCACACTCTGGTGTTCATCAGAATTAGAAGGGAGCTTGTTAAAGGTACCTGAGCAGGGGCCCTAATCCCAGAGACTCATAGTCAGCAGGTCCAGGTTAGGGCCCAGGGTTCTGCATTTTAAGTAAGCTTTCCTGTGGTGATTTCCAAGTTTGAGAAATGCGAGTCTAGGCCAGTAATCTCCAAACTAAAGCTGGGTACACCCAATCTTTAAAATATTTTTGATATTTTAATATATAATGTTACCAATATATGTTAGGTGAATATAATAAATACCCATCCCTTAACATTTATAATTCTTAATGTGTAATATTTGTAATATATATACATTACAATCCTATACAAATAAATTAAAAATGGACATGGAAAGTTCAATTTGTTTCAAAAAGGGAGGTTGTTACTCAGTGATATAAATCCCAGTTGAGGAAATACACTATTGGCTATGCTCACTAAATTACAGTGTCCATGGTAGAATGCCATCTACCTCATTTTGAAGTTTCTGTTACAACAAAGCTACTGAGTTCCATCTTCCCTGATCTCCATCACTCACTTATGCAAATTAATCAGAAGAGGCTGCATTTTTATATATTTAAGTGGGTTTCAAACACACTAGAACTTCATTTAGATGACGTTTAACAGAGTTTAAAACTCTGTTTCCAAGTTTTAAATGTGTGCAGATAACATTGTTTTATTATTTTTTAAACTAAAAATTGGTTTTATTCTAATTGGCTTTATTAAGTGATTCATAAATTGGGCAGCATCCCACCTGGCAAGGAGAGAGAAGCTATGGGGAGGGGTACAAAATGGAAGGCTGCCATAGGAAGGAAGGTGGGGTGAGAAAGTTATTAGTAAAAGAAAGGACCATCCCAGGCAAGGCCACCTTCCTTGTGGGGAAGGGCAGGAGGTCTTATTAGGTGATTACCTCATCTTTTGGGAGATGGAGGGCCCATGTGACAGATGACCTCATTGGTGCTGATCTTAAAATTCCCTTCTGATTGGTTAGGACTCATTTCTGGGGGAAGCTGAAATTGCAAATAGCTTAGGTGTTAAGCCCTAGTTTGCAGACGGGATCTAAGTGATGCTGTTTCGAACTTGTGGTTTTCTTTTGCACAGTTCTCCCATTTTGAAGAGACTCTCAGCTTAACTGACAGATGTGATCAAAATTTAGGGCAAGAGAATATTGTTTTAATAGGCGGTATCATTATTGGCAACACTGTGGCAATGGAAACATTTCCAAATAAGTGCTTTCCAAAACGTTCTCTTCACAGCACTAATCTCTTCCGAATACCAATTGCATTCTCACTCATTTCACAGTCACCTTTTTCTTGAAAGAGAGGTGAAGTGTGTTCACTATTTTGAAAGCATCTGCAGGCTGACCACGGACAGCCACTTGTCATCACAGAGAGGTCATAAATTTGGAACACATTCTTTTGAAAAAACAAGAGGACATGACTCCTCTTAGAGGTATTTTTCCATGTGACGACCAGGGTGTCTTAGTGGGACCAAAGATTTTAATGGTCACTCCCTCTTTATGAAGTTTCCACTGTATTTTAGGTGTCTTCTATTTATCAAGAATCTCACCGATAACCTCCCATAGACATTGTGTAAGTCAGCCTTGAACTTCTTTGGTCCAGTAACTTGTCTACTCGCCTACAGTAACTTGTCTGTGAATGAGGCAATGAATGAATTTTACATGTGCTCCTCTCTCTGTAATCCTCTAGAGGAGCCATTTTATTTATTCCAAAGTAATCCCTGCAACAGTGGTCGCACCTTACAGTTTGGACATAATAATTGTTTTTATTAAGGATGTAACTTAGCAGTAGGATTATAACTTGTCTGATCTGTACTTAGGGGTTTGCATAGAGTAGAATCTTGAAAGCCTGGTTGGGCATTGACTGTTATTTTCTCTTAGCACTTTCAAGAGATTTTCTAGCCAACAAGAAGTCTGCTGCCCACTTAACTGTTTTTCCTTCCTAGGAAATCTGTCTTTTCTCTCTGATTTAAAGACTTTCTCTTATCAATTACTGTCCTTGCTAAGATGTGCATTTATAGTGATTTATTTTGATTGGAATTTATGATTCCTGAACTTAAGGATTTTTGGCTTCAATAATTATGGAACACTCTCAAGCTTTCTGTTTTGAATACTTGCCTCTTTCCCATATATTCTTCTAGAACTCCTAGTAAGGGGCACTTGGGTGGCTCAGTTGATTGAGTGACTGCTTTGGGCTCAGGTCATGATCCCAGACTTCCAGGATCGAGTCCCGCATCGGGCTCCCAGCTCCTTGGGGAGTCTGCTTCTCCCTCTGACCTCCTCCTGTCTCATGCTCTCTCTCTCTCATTCTCTCTCAAATAAATAAATAAAAAAAAAAATCTTAAAAAAAAATTTTAGAACTCCTAGTAGGTATATATTGAAACTTCTCATTCTGCCTATAACATTTTCCATTTCTACCTATCTGTGTTCTCTATTCAACTGTGTTTTTATTTTTATTATTTATTTTAATTATTATTATTATTATTATTATTTTATTTTTTTTTAGAGAGAGAGAGCGAGCGGGCACATGTGTGTGAGTGGCGGGGGAGGGGAAGGCAGAGAGAGAGGGAGAGACAGAATCTTAAGCAGGCTCCATGCTCAGTGATCATGCTCGATCTCACAACCTTGAGATGATGACTTGAGCTGAAATCAGGAGTCAGAGGCTTAACCTACTGAGCCATTCAGGCGCCCCTTAACTGTGCTTTAAACTTGACATTCAGTGCACCTATTCAATTTTAAATTCCTATGACTAAATTTTTCATTTCCAGAATTTCTATCTGGGTCCTTTTCAATATTGCCTCTTCTCTTTCATGAGGATTTTATCTGTTAGTTTCCTTAAGGATTCTAAACATATTCATTTTACTGTTTTTCCAGATTGTTCTATTACCTAAACTTACTGAAACTGCTAATCTTCTTGTTTGTTGGGTCTGCTGTCTTTCCTTTACGGTGGTTCATGGTTAGTAGTTTTTATCAGGAGGTCAGTTTTTAGGGGGTTACTCTTTCCTCTAGAAGGCCCATGCATGCTAGCTATATTGTGATTATTTCCCTTCAGGTATTTTTGTAATTACATTTGCTAGGGCTTCATGGGTTTTGTGGTCTTGGGCCATTTCTATTTTATTTATTTATTTTTTCAGAATTCACTTCTCATATAAGACATTTAAATTTAGATCTACATCCACGTGGGGCATAGGGTTTGACTCCAGTTTCTCCAGAGACTTTTCATTTCCCCACGTAGGAACCCACCCAGGAAGAACTTCCTCCCTGCTTCCTGGGGCAGATGGACAGCTTTTCTACCCCCGGCTAAACAGAGAAGGCCACCTGTGCAAGTTTTTGCCATTAGGCACGGACTTCAGGCCAGTGTCAGTACCTTACAACAGGCCTACAGGGTCATCTCCTGTCTCTCCCAGGGATTAAAATCCCAGCCCCAAACCATGAGAATCTAGGTCTCAGCCCAAATCCCTCTGTGCATCGAGGCTTCATTTGTAGAATCAGATTCCCTCTGCCTCGCCTGCAAACTGGACCTCCCCGTCTCACCTCAACCTCGTATTCACAATGCTTTTATTTTCACTCATGCATATTTAGAGCAAGACTGAAGTTTGTATTAGATCGGATGCGTTTAGATAAGTTGCTGGAAACCGAAGTCCACTGTTTATATAGTGGGTTCAATAGATTTTGTTTATGAAAAAAAAGAGTTCACTGTTTAAAAAAAAAAACAAAAACGATTAAAGATGGTTCACAGGATCAGCTCAATGCTCTCCTACTGATAAGGAAAGGAAGCCCAAGGAAATGAAGGGTCTTTAAGGGTCACACACACTAAGAAGTAGGAGGAGTGGAGTTCCACTCTCCATGCTCCTTCCCGCCTTCCTGTCTCCTTTCTTCTTTGCTTCCTTCTTCCTTCTCTTCCTCTTTCATTTCTCCCTTCCATGAACTGTATTATCTATTAAAGTCAACCTCTTTAGACCTTTGGTAGATAAAATGACTGCTGTGAAACAGAAGACAATTTTGTGTGTTTGAGCAAAGCCATTACATTAAAGTGAAGTGGATGGAGGGCTTAACCCCGGAATGTTCTCTCCTCCACTGAAAACATCTAGAGGACGGGAAAGGTCATCATTTGGTTTGTGAAGAGCTGCATTTGCTCTAGACAGAGAATATGGCAACTTACTTTCTTTAGAGAATGTTTATTAAAAATTATAAAGATGTATTCGTGGATTCAAATTATTACTGTAGGGGACGCCTGGGTGGCTCAGTGGGTTAAAGCCTCTGCCTTCTGCTCGGATCATGATCCCAGGGTCCTGGGATCGAGCCCCGCGTCGGGCTCTCTGCTCGGCAGGGAGCCTGCTTTCTCCTCTCACTCTCTCTGCCTGCCTCTCTGCCAACTTGTGATCTCTGTCTGTCAAATAAAATAAATAAAAATCTAAAAAAAAAATTATTACTGTAGCTCTGACTATAACAATATATGTGGTTGCAACCATGTATGCCACAAAAGTTAAAATTAATTAATTACTAAAAATTAATTATTGAAATTGACTTAATTTTTTTAAATGGGCATTTCTGGTTTATTCATTTTTTATTTTATAAAAATATTTTATTTATTTCTTTATTTGACAGAGAGAAAGATGGCACAAGTAGGCAGAGCGGCAGGCAGAGGGAGAGGGCGAAGCAGGTTCTCCACTGAGCAGGGAGCCCAATGTGGGGCTTGATCCCAGGACCCTGGGATCATGACCTGAGCTGAAGGCAGCCGGTTAACTGACTGAGCCACCCAGGCATCCCCTTTGTTTTTTAAATTTTTTGTTGAAGATTTTATGTATTTATTTGACACAGAGAGATATAACGGGAGAGGAAACACAAGCAGAGGGAGTGGGAGAGGGAGAAGCAGGCTTCCCACCGAGCAGAGAGTCCAATGTGGGGTTTGATCCCTGGACCCTGGGATCATGACCTGAGCCAAAGGCAGATGCTTAATGACTGAGCTACCCATTGTTTGAGATCACATTAAAAAAAAAAAAAGAAAAAAGCAACTTATAGAAACCCAGTGATAAAAATCATTACCTTTGGATGCTTCTCACTTATACCTGATTCGCTGTTCACTCTAAGTCTTTCTTTGCATCATATGTTCCCCAAACAACTCGTGTTTCTTTTCAAGCCAACTGACCCGCTGAAGTGTCGGTGTGTTAAAAAAGTCAACGAACCATAAAGTGACATGAGTAATTGACAGAACTTCAGAGGGGCCTTATTCTTTTCATCTTAACACACCCTGGCACCATCACAAATGTTTTATTTCTTTCCATGAAATAAAAAACTCCTCTGTCATTTTAAGTCTCAGATTGATCTGAGGTGACTGGGGAATTTCTCAGAAACACTGTTAACAAGCAAAGGTTGATAAACTGAGGTGACTACTTCTGTATAAGCCCAGGACCAAAGTTCTAGAAACAACTGACTTTTCGACCATGAAAGAACCTTCGAATGATGCCCAGTCCTGAGCCTCGCAGATGACCAGTCTAGCACAGGTGTTCACTAGTTGCAGACACGGCCATGTTTACACCATTTATTGAGCGCATACTATGAGCCAGGGACCAAGCTCAATGCTTCATATATGTTATCTTCTTCAATCCCCCCAATAAACCCAATAAGAGGTATGTCCCCATTTTATAGATCAGGAGACTGAGGCTCAGGCTCATGACAATGCCCAAGGTGTGCCAGCTAGTATAGGTTGTTGAGCCAGGATTCAGCCCATTATTTGTCTGATGCCAAAGCTCAAGCTCCATCTTTGAACCAGGAACTTGCCTAGTGCGGGTTCAGTTTAAATTCCTGCACTGTAGACCTGCGAGGCTTTGTTAGGAGAAATCCCTTTCCCCTTTAAGGGTGACTTACCTAAATAACTTGAGATGATCTGCAAGTTTAGGGATATCAGTAATGTCCTCCTAAGGAAAAACAGATAACATTTCGTAAGTGGTTAATTAGGTGGTGTTGATCCTCTCTATCTGCACCATCCAATACTGTAGCCACTCACCACACGGGGTGATGAAAATGTGAATTAATCAAAATTAAACTAATGAGAAACTCAGTTCTTCAGTCACACGAGCCACATTTCTAGTAGTGACCCCAGCGGATGGGGAGTGGGCAAGGGAGCGGGGGTGGGAAGGGACACAAGTATGGGTTTCTGGGTGGCTGGCAAAGTTCTAGTTCTTGATCTGGGTGGTGACTTGGATGACAATACAAGTTTGTTAAGTCGTACGTTTCCTCCCCCACTTTTCTTTATGGGTCATGGGTCATAAAAATGAAAAGAGATTAAAAAACCTAACCAAACACTACCATTCAAGGTAAAAATTTGAGTTAGAAACTGCTACTTTTATGTACAAACAAAATATTTTGCAAATTTTACCTCAGAGAGGGTAAATTTAGTTACACCTAGTTCACTGATTAACTTCTCAAAAGGAACCTGGTTCAGAGTTAATTCTGCGGTGTAGGCGGGTGCCTACTTTCTAAATGAAAAGCCTATTGTTTAGCATCACATGAAAATATTGAGGGTGGGAGGAAGGAATTTTTCATTTATTCTGAGAAGGATCACGGTCTACCTATTTAGTGGAGGAAGTCGACAAAAGAGAAGTCCAATTCAATGAGCCCTGTGTCTCCTATAAACGTGAGACAGGGCTCTGAATCTCCACAGAATCTTGGCATTTAGTTTGTGTGAAGTATTTGCTTTTGCGTAATACCAACTTCCTATTTTAAGGAAATCAATTACAGGGGAACGTGCATTAAATCCATAAGACTATAGTGATTCATTTTTATCTCTTACTATTTATATCCAATGACAATAGATCCACCTCTCTGATTCAGTGTGCATTAAACTAATAATTACTCCCATGACTGAGGTACTTAGTTAAACAAAAGGGTGGCACTCAACAGGTGAATCAAACAGGAGAGGCATTCTGATTATAAAGCCACCATTCAGCTATGTTTCTTGGATAAGGAGATGATAAAATAGTTGTATTACTTTATGTCTCACAGGAAGGTTTTTGTCTATTTCCTGAAGTCAAAAGGGTTAGGAGCTTTTTTGAGTGTCCCAGAATAAACGCCCTCACTGTGTCAACCTTGCCCAGTTGCAGTGTATGGCTAGGTCAGTAGATAATAGGCTTTGTATCTGTGAAGCATCTTCTCCATTCTCACAGCTAGCTGTACAACACACTGGGTGGTTCTCTCCACACCTGAGAGGAGGGACTGCCTCAGTGAAGAAAAGCCCTCGGCAGGGGCAGTCTTTGCCTCCTACTCCCCAGCTTCTCCCTAAGAAATACATATAAAAGTACTGCCCTTAATAGCACCGAACATATCTCATAGTCCCTTCCGGAACTGACCTGAGAAAAGCCAGTCAGGTCAGCTTTAAGTCCACAGCTTTAAGCTTGTGGAAAGTATTTTTTTTTTTTCAAAAACACAGATTCTCTTATTTCTCATAAAAAAGAGCTCATTTAGATGTGTCAGCCCATGAGAATGCAGCCACAGTTCTGAGTTACCAGAAAAGTTCATACCAAAGCGTTGTCTGCTTTTCCACCTTCTAGGGTCACTTCCAAATTAGAGAGTGCCGCTTCTACTTCGTCGACCTCAGACTCATTTGCAAAATCCTGTGTGTCAGCTGACAGCGACAGTTTGCTAATGTGATACTACGATATAAACAGAGGTTTCAGAAACGTTATAAACACACATGCATCCCTCAGCACTTTCCTCTTTTTGAAGACAATCTCTTCTGAACGTCTCCTGGAAGGAGGTCTCCCTCCTCTGAAAGGAAAATGACATTTTCATCTGAATTATTTTGAGAAGGATGCTTAGTCATGTTCAAACTTGGTTCTTCTCTAACACTGGTTGAGCTTGTAGTAGGGATGAGATAAAAATTACAAGACTAACGCCTTATAGAAGCAGGGCGCATGTGCGGGTTATGAGGAATATTTTAAATTGAAATAGATTCCCCTCACTTTCAGTTCTTTCTTCAAAGAAAAGAAACAGTATGAAGAAAAGGAAACTTTAAGAAAACAAATTTGCTTTGTTTTCTTGCAGAGAGAAGGTACTGAAGTTCCCATACTTGCAGTGCTGCAAAAATCAACATTTCTTCTTCCGTGCAGTCAATTTCTTCCAAGAGGATGGCCCACCTGGCTTGTTCATAGAGTTGGTTGATTCGGACAGCATCGTACTAAGGGAAGAAACAGGTAGGTATGTATGTGTTGTGGAGGGGACATATTTATATTCCTCAGTACGAAAACACTGGAAACATGGAGGCCATTCCTTGTTAATGCAGAAAACTTGCGCTCAGGCAAGTGAAAGAAATACCTCTCTTTCCACTGCCCCAGCTCCTTTTACTTCTGAACTTAGAAACTGCTTTGTCAAAATATTTTCTAGAGCTTCTTCAAGGGGCCAAACTGACCCATCTTTGATTGCATTATTTCTCCCTCTCTTTTATCACACTTCCACTGATAGGAAAAATCACTGTCACCACCTACCTACAAGACTCTCTTCAACTAACAAAACTGCAACTCTGTACCCATTAAACTGTAACTCCTACTCTGCACCACGCCCCCCCCACGGTATACAGTTTACTGTTTCCTTAAAGAAAAAAGGTGAGGAAAATATGGAGGAGGAATAGAAAGATAGAGTGACTATCACAGGGTGATTAGCATTAGTTTATTTTTCCTTTTGCATTAACCTTGTACACACTAGAAAAAAAGGTGATAGGGGATCTAAAAATCCGTAGCGAGCCCAAACCAGCAAAGAGCATTGCTATCAGGTCAGCCGGAAATGGAACCCACTGTAGAGGCATGGTCCTTCCCGGCAGTGCCGAAGCTGCCGGCAGGGCAAGACAAACAGGAACCCATACGTGTGGCCCTTGGGAAGCTGGAGGACTGAGAAAATTAAGAAAGTCTGTCTTTGCTTTGTGAACTTTGTGGGACACAAAGCTGGCGCCAGGACCTGCCCCAAACAAACCAAAACAGAACACACGTGAGAATATTCACAACAGCGTTGCTTATAACAGCTCTGAACCAGAAAGTTTCCAAGGGGGTGCCTCGACTGGTGAAAGGCTAAAAATGTGGGCCTCATGCACAAGGGGATGCCACTTGGCAGTAAGAAGGAATGTGCTATAGGTACACGTGAAAACACAGAGAGACCTCAGATCCAGAGGCACAAGATGACATACTGTATGAGTCCATCCATAGGAAACTTCCAGAAAAGGCAAACCTGGAGACAGAAGGCGGACCAAGTGGTGGGCTGGGGCTGGGAGCCAGGACTGACCACAGATGGGATATGAGAAAACTTTTTTTGGGTGATGCCAAGTGTTTTACAACTGGATTGTGGTGATGGTTGCACAACCATATGAATGTACTACAATCATTATAATAGAATTTTATGGCATGTAAATGACACGGCAATCAAGATAAAAACAACTAAAAAAGCACATACCATGCACACCAAAAAACGAGGCAACCCCTGCCCCGCTCCCTAACAAAAAGACCCTTGCTTCATGCACAGTTTATAGGCAAAATCCAAATAGTATGTGTGGCTACTAAAATTTGAATTGGACTGTCTGTCTGTCTCGGTCTGTCCCCCAGTCAGTCACAGTGTCTTCAATCCTAATGCTGTAGGAGTTTTAGTGAGAGTAAGTCAAATCACCTGATCAGGTTTTTCTCTCAAATGCAGTCAGTAAAGACTTACAAAAATGAAGCAGAGCTTCCACACCCGAACAAACCTAATTCCCCTGCCACCTACCCCCCCCACCAAAGCCAAATAAAACAATATGGTGGAAGAACATTGGCCAAACAGAAGTTGGCCCATTTGCAGACTGGCAGTAGGAGAACAGGCTCTAGTACAAGATGTTATGATGGACAGGATGAACCCTGGCTCCCACTGGGGAACACTGGATTGTTCTGTGGCAGCCAGCAGAGCTCTGGATTTCCTTCTCTGGAGTCTTGTTCATGTTCCCCCTGAGGCTCTAGAACATCAAAAGTTCCCAGGTTTTGGTGGGTCATTTATTAACAGGCACCCTAACAAGTCTTTCTCCCTCTGAGAACTCTGTCAGTGGTTTCCCTGATGCAAGAGACAAATTTTATTCCCTTGGTGGGGATTGGCTGTTCTTGCCCTTCCTTGGCTCTCGATTTGTCTTCTGGTTTACTGAAAACAGAAATCCTAGACTGGGAAGCACATGGTTTCTGCCACCTCCATTGCCTGAATCCCTGTTTCTTCTAATCCAGACAATTCAGTTAACACCTCCCTCCATCCACCAGCCACCAATACAAACAAGTACCAAAACCTGTTTCCCAGAGTTTCACTCCCTCAAGAAAGGGTCATTATAGAGATCTCCTCACAAAGGGTTCCCAGTTAGCTGGGAGGAACTTTCAGTGTCCTCTAGGACTCTTATTAAAACAGATGTGCACCTTTTCTCTACTGAACATTAAAAAAAATACTATGGGGGCGCCTGGGTGGCTCAGTGGGTTAAGCCTCTGCCTTCGGCTCAGGTCATGATCTCAGGGTCCTGGGATCGAGTCCCGCATCGGGCTCTCTGCTCAGCAGGAAGCCTGCTTCCTCCTCTCTCTCTCTGCCTGCCTCTCTGCCTACTTGTGATCTCTGTCTGTCAAATAAATAAATAAAATCTTTAAAAAAAATACTATGAATTACTGGAGTTGTAACAGTTTTTTTTCTTCACAATTGAAATGGGGCAAATGAATAGATAATGAAGGAATTTGGTTTGCATGAATTCTAAAGGGACAAAAGAACGGACAACAAAAAGTTAGTCTCTTTCTCTTCCTTGTTCCCTACAAATGATAGTTTCTCTATGGACTGTTTTGTACCTTGTTCTTTTTCATTCTATAATATGCCTTGAATGGGTTCCACATCAAAAGAAAGCTGATTCATTCTTCTTAGCAACAACACTATATGGATATATCATAATATCCTTAACCACTATTGATGGATGGTTAGGTAGTTTCCAATTTTCTTCTTCAAGCCTTATTTCTGGTCAGTTTTTGGTTTAGATCCAACTTAATGCCCCTGGACCTAGCTTGTGTCTGGAGTGCCTCACTTCCACTGAATCATGGCAAATGAGCAAATTTTGGTAATAACTGTTCTCATATACAGACATATCAATGCACATATTTGAGTATAACTGTGGCATAAATACAGTGCAGTGGATTTACTGGGTCAAAGCTATGTAGAATTTTAATTCTGATAGATATTGCCAAATTACCTTCAATACGGATCAGATTAATTTGTACTTTGGACTACAAGCAGGGTATGAGAACCATTTCCCCCACACTCTTGCTAAGACGGTATATGAAACTTTTTGATCTTTGCCAATATAAGGCTAAAAGTCAGTCTAGTTCCTTTTCTATGAACTACATGTTCATATCCTTTGCTCATTAGGTTACTGGGTGGTTGCTGTTCTTCTTCTTCTTTTTTATTTTATTTTATTTTATTTATTTATTTATTTGACAGAGAGAGAGAGAGAGATCACCAGTAGGCAGAGAGAGAGAGAGAGAGAGAGAGGGAAGCAAGCTCCCTGTTCTTTTTTTTAAATTGATTTTCAGGAGCTCTTTATTAGGGAAATTAGCCTTTTGTTTGTCGTATGTGTTGCAAAGACTGATTTTTTCACTGTGTATATAGTTTTTTGTCATGCATAAAATTTTAATTTATGAAAATGTATCAATCTTTTATGGGTTCTGGATTTTGTATTTTTAAAGTATATTATTTTTGAAATTTTGTATATTCTAGTATTTTTGTGTATCTGAGATTTTAATCAGTACTTGTAACCCTAGTGCTACTGCCTGCCTACATCTCTCCTCTGAAAGCTGGAGAGGAGAAGCTCCTTCATTCTACTATACAATCTTTTTCCCTTCTGTGGGGTGTCCTGTCTGTTTTATCTGGTTTCATGGGTGCTATCTTTGCTCTTCTTGCTTTGATTGTAGATTCTATAAAAACATGAACTGCATCTTAAGTTTCTGTATCCCTCTATCTACTCAGCATCTAGTAGAAAGTTGGAACTAAACGTGGTTATATTTATAGCATTTCATACTTTAGAAGAGGGGAGAGGGGAACTCTGAAGTGGTTTTTCCTGTGCCCCAAAGCCATATCCCCAAAGCCTGAGTCTTCTGGCCATGTTTGGGTTGACAGCTTCTATTTGGCTGTTAGATTCAAATAGGTTTCCTTCATGAGCCATGTGGAGAGAACTCCTTAGCCATTAAGCAAATCTGATCAAAGCACCCTTGAAAAAAATCAAAACCAAAAAAAAAAAAAAAAACCCCTCTATTTTGGAAGAAGCTGTAGAGTAGTTTCTTCTGAAGGTTTTATCAAAGAGTGAAAAATTTGCTTGTTTGCCATGATTCAGTGGAAGTTAGGCGCTCCAGACACAAGTGAGGTCCAGGGGCATTAAGTTGGATCTAAACCAAGGACTGACTCATTTTGAAGAAGATGCCAGTTAAGGAAGCACTGGGACCCAAGTTGCACCTGCGAAAACCAGACTTAACATCAGGATCCAGGAGAAGACAGTGCCATGAGAGGCAGAATCACTGTTGTGGGTGAGAAAGGGGTCGACACAGAGGGGCCCGCCAGTGAATGGAAGAAAGCAACAAGCACCAACCTGGGATAAAATCACCCTGTGCACTTGGAGGGCCCGTTTATATTTTTGACATGTGTCAGGTTAAGTGCTGACTCACAACTCCACAAACAGGCCAAGCAGCGCCAAGGAAGGGGCAGAAATTCAGAGGATTTACTTCATCCCTCAGTTGTCCTAGTAAACGTCAGGAGGCAGATGGGCACTTAATGGGAGTTGCTGACCAGCTGGGGTGGTCATACAGATGGTCTCTCTTTCTCATCACCAAATTCTTATCTGGCCCTGCAGTGGGGAGTGTGGCATGGACCATCATGGGGTCCTGGCTTGTTCATGAGAACCGGCTCTTAAACGTGGCTCGGATGCTCCTTCCTTCCTAGGAGAATCCAGCTCTGTGAGCCACTCTCCTCTTGTTCCTCCATTCGTGGGGATGGAGAGGGGTAGCACACACCACGCTGGGAGGGAAGACCCCGAGAGGCTCCCACTAACTCAGGGGCAGCTGATCACGTCATTGCTTTTACGTGAAAAGACTAGAGAGTTGAGCAGAGCTAAACAGAAGATTATACAAATTAACCCTAATTCGGAGAACTAAATGACTGGATCTTCCACTTCTAGGCCTTCACACTGAAAAAGGGAGAGAGAGAAGAGGCACCTGGGTGGCTTAGTTGACCAAGCATCTGCCTTGGGCTCAGGTCATGATCCTGGGGTCCTGGGATCGAGTCCCACGTCTGGCTCCCAGCTTGATGGGGAGTCTGCTTCTCCCTCTGCCTCTACCCTCCTGCCCCCTGCTCATTCTCTCTCTCTCTCAAATAAATAAATAAAATCTTTAAAAAAAATGAAGAAGATAAAAAGTATCTTACTTTGGGATTCAAGTCAAAGAAAGTGTAGTATTTAAATCGTAACAGCAGCTGCTCATCCTCCTGGATGCCTTGCTCCATAAGGGAACGTGAGGAGTCCAGCCAACTGGAAAAGAGTAGGTTGAGTTTTAATAGTTAATCAATTTTACACACACCTATTATAGCATTACCTAATATGTTTCTATACATATTTACATTTATATACATGTATTTACATTTATATACACATAGATGTAGATATACACATACGTGTGTGTGTATTTCCCTGAACAATGTCCGAGTAAGTAATATAACCAAAAATCTGTAAGGGAGAGGACTTGATAATTATCTTACATCTGCATTTTATTTTATAGCTTTTAATAACTTTCCAAGTGTTTTTTGTATGTATATTTTGTTTACACTGATACTTTAAAGTAACCCAGTGAAGAAGCCAAGGCAGTTCCTATTTTCTCAGTGTTATGGGTGGGAAAATAGAGTCTTAGTGACATTAAGTGCTATGTTCAAGGTCATGTGCCTTGTCATGGAGCCAGAATGGAAATCTCTACTTGCTGACTTCGTGCACTGCTTCTCCTCTGTCTGGTCTGACTCAACACTGGGTCTATCTTATTGGCTAGAACTTTCTATAACAATGTAAATATTCTGTATTGCCCTGACAGACTGCCCACTAGTCACATGTGGCTAGTGAAGATTTAAGTGTAGCTAGTGCCACACTTTAATTTTAATTAAATTCAAAGTGAAATGTAAATATCCACCTGTGGCTAGTGACTCCTGTCTGGATGGCACAGTTCTAGAGCTGAAAAATAAATACTGGATCATGGTAAGGTGTGGAGAGGTGGAGAATAAAAGTGAGCAACAGAATGAGACGGGGATGAATGCCATCCAGTCCCATGGAATGAAGATAGCCTGAATGTCCACCCCTACCAGGTCTGGGGGGGTAAATAAGGATGACTGAGATACAGTCTCTGGTGTAGTGGGGGTGTGAGGTCCAGTGGGGGAGAGTGAGCCTCATAACAGAGGAACGTGGTGACAGAGAAGCGAAATGGAGCCATGTCCTTACCCTGCGTTAAGCCTGGCTTTGTCAACCAGACACCGAGGCTGGTACATATCTGCCAGTGCTTCTGGTGACTGGGGGGGTTGGCTCAATGCCAGGATGCTGCAGTTTTGTTCCGCCAAAGGGCTGTCGCTGAACCAAGTCATGGTGGAGGATGCGGGTGTTCCACTGATGGGGTCGTACGTGGGAGTCATGGTTTTACTGTATAAGCCAGGACTGACTGCAAGGCAAAGGGAAGCATGCACTATGATACGAGGTTCAGGGGGAAGGGTCTTTAGAAAAATAGGTGCTGACATTGCTTATACCCAAATGGATTTTGAATTTAAATGTTTGTACCACTTTAGGTCCTGAAAAGGCAGAGAACTCATAGTCCATAAAAACGCCTAAAACCAACCCAGGCAAATGTTGGGGACTCTCTCTTTGTCAGTTCAAAATTCTATTTCAGCAGTGAGTTTTGGCACCATCAGAGAACAGAAGGTCCCCCAAAAGAGCATGTACAGGCTTTATTTTTGGGCAAATCCTTTAGGCAAATAACAGTACCTGCCAATTTTAAGAATCCAGCTAGTTGATGGTTTATAAATCATATGGGCTGTGTAAGGAAAGTGCAAAAAATGTTTTTATTCTTTGCATTGGGATATACTATGCAAGAAGACCTTTATTGCAAGCAAGGTAGAGATTGATTTATGTCTATGTAAAAAGACAAGGATAGTGTCTTTCCAGAATTTTTACCTGCCCACTTGTTAGATGCCCAATGCAAAATTTAAACCGAATTCAGGAAAGAGTCACATGAAGATAGAATCAGGAAGAGAAAAGTATTATTTGAGTGATCCAACTAATCTCTTTTCCCCCAGATTCACAGCCAATTCCCCTAAAGTTTTGCATTCATCAACAACATAATATACACAGTGAAACCAATAATGTATATAGTGTGTAGAGCACGTCTTCATCTCAGGGTCATGAGTTCAAGCTCCACACTGGGTGTAGAGCTCACTTAAAAAAGTAGCGAGCCACAAAACAAAACTTATTGAAAATATTCTGTGAGCTCTAAGATTAATTGCATATCCTTTCTTCATCACAGGAATCCTGAAATTTTAGTCCTTCTTTGGGGGCAAGGGAGGGGAGGGATGGGAAGACGAGGGAAAGAGGAGCAGAGGGCGGGAAATGTCTTGGGATTTAAGAAATCTTTGGATTTAAGAATGAAACACAACAATAAAACAGCTGTCACGAATCATACCCGGTGGACCTGAAGTCGTTGGAGAACCCTCCAGGTTCAAAATATCTTCAATTATGGGCTCCCTGTTACTTTTGTCTTTTTTTTTCTTCTTTTTAAAATAGTCACCAGATGGCTTTAACAAGGAAAGTTCTTCTGATCTTCTGATATCTAACAAACAAATAAATATAAAGAAAAATGAAAAACTATCAAAAAGGAAAAAGGGGGCTGCCTGGCTGGCTCAGTTGGAGGGGAAGGTGACTCCTGACCTCAGAACTGTGAGTTCAAGCCCCACGATGGGCATCGAGATTACTAAAAAGAAATAAAATAAAACTTAAAAAAAAAAAGTAAAATAAAAATTCCTTCTAAGACTCAGAGTCATGCTGGGCATCTGAAATCATTTCTCAGGAAATTCCTGAGAAGTCAATGGAACTGAATTACACCTCTTTGGAAGAAACAGAAGGGGACCAGAGACTCCTAAAACAGGTGCAGGCACGTGTGTGTGTGGGGCGAGGGGAATGTCCAAGAGTGGAGGGAGATTTATTCTAATAAAAGTCCTAGTTGTTTTTTAGTGTATTATGAAAATATTTCAAAGATAACCAAAGCAAAAGGAATAGTATAATAGCCGCCTCGTGTTTTCATCAGCCAGCTTCAACCACCATCAGCACTTGGCTGTTCTTGCATTATCTGTTCACTACTAATTTTTCCCTCCTTCTCTTTTGTCTCTTTTTTCAGTGTTTTTTTTTTTTTTTTTTTCTAAAATAACAACCAAGAACTCCCCTTTTTCTTTATAGAACATAGATCCTGAAAGCCTTTCTCTTACACTGTGCCCGATCACTAATTTCATCCCTTTGGCAGGAAGCCCGGGTGCCCTGCGCATCTCTTCCCCGCCCTCACCACTTCCGCGCGCTCTGACGCAACTTCCGGTGGGTGCTAAGACAAGCGTCTCTGCGCCACAGAGATGCCATAGTCTGCATACGAGTGCAGAGGCCACATAGAGGCCACATGAGTTCAGAGAATTAACATTCCCCGAGGGCAGCCCTCAATGACTGATGGGAGTGGTATATTAACCCTCCCGGTCCCTCACCCCTTGGACAGGCCAGCTCTGAGGCATGTTACATGGTCTCCCAGGAGCCCCCAGCTGCCCCAAATGCGACTGGGTTGGTGACACTCTCTTATGGATGGCATTCTCTTTCCAGCCTTACCTCCTTACCCCCAACCAGTGTCTTCTGGAATCACCTTCCCCCCTCTCACCCAAATAAATGTTTGTCCTTGAATTCTTGTCTCAGGGTCTGCTTCTGGAGCACTCAAACCAAGAGGATTCCCAGTTTTCTCCATTAGTCAAATATATTTATAATTGCCATTGCCAATCAGAATACCTGATGACCATTAACCACACTGAGCTGCTATGTGATTCCAAGTAAAAGCCAGGGAATGTGCAGGTTAGAATCTGAAAGCAGCTTTCCTGGAGGCGGATGCACCCATTCTATAGGTCCTGCCATTTTGCAGTTTAAACACTGCTTGGTGCTGAGGCTGAGGCTAGCAGTTCAGCTTCATCATCTTCCCCTGTAACCAAGGATGCTTGATGGTCAGGTTGCAACCCATACCTGTGCCCATTCCAAATGCATAATTTATAGAGGAGACCAGGAGATGAATCAGAATTTCCAGTAGGAGCATTAGAAACAAAACAACCAAACCAAACCAAACCTGTATCTCTAAGCCCAAGATTTGCATCTTGCCTTTTCTTTGTGAGAACACCCATCATATTGCTAAATATTATTTAGCTTCAGTTGAACAGATACAAAAGACAATAATCAGAAATGCCAGGTTGAGCCCTTTAGAATGACTATGAAGATATATTCTGGAAAAGAGAAGAATGTCTGACTTCTTCTCTTTTCCAGATCTATATATGTTGCAACCTCAAGTTTTTGGCCCCAGCCACAATGTGTCTTTCTCGTCTACTGTGGACTGGGCTTTATTTTATCATTTCCTTTGTTTTCCAATCCTCATTGGAATATTGCTGGAAACAGCACGCCCTGGTGCTCGCCATTTTCCCACCATGTACCAGAGGCACTGCTGTGAAATGGAAGGCTCTGAAATGGAAGGTTCCGTTCACTTGTTCACTTAATAGTTAATGAGCAGCAAACGTGTGCCCATATGCTAGGTGTTAGGAACTCGGGCATGCTCAAGTAATGGTTTCTGTCTTCACCCTATTTAATACCATAGCAGTCCCTACTGCCCAACATTGGAACTCCCAATCCTGCATATACTGTTAGAGCTTTTCTTTTTTTCTCTACCAAATAACTCCTTTTAACATCTTATTTTTAAATTACTTTTACATTCATTCTTTCTTGTCTCTTCATCTTAGCATGTCAGCTCAATAAGGGAAGGGGTTTGGTACTGTTTTTATTGTTCACCAATCCCTAGCACTCACCACAATGCCTGCCTAATCAGGATATATTTGTTGAAGGAATGAATGAATGAGCAGTTTATAGTTTAATGGGGAAGAGAGATCACTCACTCATATATCGTAAATACTGTATTCAAATGCCAAATCTTAGCCTTAGAACCAAAGAATGCACCTATACACTTTAAAAAAATATTAAACAAGAAAACAAGAAAAATATTAAACAAGAAAATATTAAACAAGGACGTAGGGTTCACTTCCATTATAGAAGTTCCCCAAATACATGGTTTGGGCAGTGTTGTCCCTAAAGACTGTTAAAACTGTAAGGATTAGTTTTCAATCCATAATGAAGTATAACTTCCTGCTTTACATAAATTCCACAGATAATTTTTGTGGATAGACTATTTGCTGTAGTGAAGTGTTAGTAAAGCAATTAAGACACTGAAACACCATTATCTCAAAAACAATAAAGATACATCAGCTCTATGGTGATGATGATTGAATGGAACTTCCTTGTTTGCCTTAAAAATAATGATGATATTAGCACAGCTTAAAAGAATTATTATTTTTTTTTTTTGTGGGGGGATAATCTTAATGGGTCTGTTTCTTCTGCTTACAGATCTCTTTTGAAATAGTGTTAAGCTTTGTGGAAATGAATCTGATTTCTCCAATAATGTTCCATTTGGTTCAACTCCACTTGCACGGCAAAGGTCCCCAGAAAAAACTTGAAAAGTATGCTTCCTAGTAAAGGAAGTGTTCTGTAAAGCCAACTGCTTGTAGGCAGAAAGCACACATAATTTCTCTGTCCTCCTTCACCAACAGTCCAAAGGGCACAGGGCCCCTCTAGGGTACTCACTCAGGATTTTGCAGATATCACTGACAGCTTTAAAAACCACAGCTGAGAAGCTGACTCGCAACCTCACTGTCTTCGCGTTTGGCAGGCGGAGGCGAAGCATTTTGTGCTGAGGGGTGAAGAGAAGCTTTGCGTCTGCCTGGACCCCACATTTGTCCAGAGTCCAGTGCGTTTTCAGAAGCCAGCAATGTTTCTGTTCCCACCAGAGGGCAAAGTCTGACCAGTCTTGGGCTACGTCTGCAAAAATGGAAAATACCATGAAGTGAAATGAGAGAGAACTCTAGAGTCCGTTTCATTGTATTCGAGAGCTGAAACCTACAAATGGTCTTCAGCTCCCCATCTCCTTTTACAACCAGAGGCTCAAACAAGCCTTGGACTGTCTTCAAAGTCTCTAAGGTGGGGCAGGTAGAAAACAGAGACTGAACCTTATCCTGATTACATGTGAACACAGTGAAAGGAACAGAAACATACATTTTGTTCTTGATAAAAAAGCTGGAGTTCTTTTCCCTAAAGTCCTTTAGGGGCATGGTCCTTTCTGGGAAAGCCAGGAGTTTTCGACTTCAACCAAGATTATTTCCCTACTAGAAATGAATCCTTACATCACTGCTCCGCAGAGGAACCACTATCTCCCAAAATCTGCACACAAGGACTATAAAGCCGACATTCCCCACCCCCATAATGTCCAGCTCTCTTAGCGCCGCCACCAGATTCCCAGTTTCCGAAGTGTCTACACTGAGATCAGCTGAGTATTTTCTCTCTCTCAATGTCAGCATCAGTGTGGACTCTTTCCCCTCCTTCAATGCTGACATCAAAGTTGAATCTTCTTCCTTTGTCAATGTTGGAACCAACAGTCCATCCTTTATTTGTTTTTTAAAACATGTTTCTCTTTCTCTCATTCTCTCACTTTGTTAGAAAACTTTTCTTTCAGTGCTGTTGGTAGAAGTATAGATTCTGTAACTATTTTAGAAAGTCCTGTTGTGCAGTAATTCCTCTCTGAGCTATACCCCAATGAAAATGCCTCTATCTACTCACCAAAGACCCTGAAAATGGAAACAACCCAAATGCCCACCAATAGGTAAATGGATAAATTGTGGCCTAATCACATGATGCAATATCACACAGCAATGAGAGTAAACGAACCAAACTATATGCAACAATATGGGTAAATCTCACAGATATAACGTTAAGTGAAAGAAAGCAGACGCATAAAAGTATGTTCTACGTGAGTGCACCTATATACAGTTTAAAAACAAGTAAAATTATTCCCATGGTGTTAGAAGTCAGGATAGTGGTTTCCCTTCGTGGGGCAGTGACTGGGGGAGGGGGGTGTCTGATGTGGTACTTGGGTGGAGGAAGTCAGTAATATTCTATTTCTTGATCTGCGTGGATACTACATGACTGAAATTTCATTGAACAGTACACTGAATGATAAGTGCACTTTTCTCTGTACGTATTATACTTAAATGAAGACTTACTTAAAAAAAAATCTCCAACTCATTAGTGTAAATGAAAAGTCAGCATCTGGACAACTTTGGATAGAAGGTAAAAACAAATAAGAGAAAAGAAAAACACTGTTAAGTTTTAGGTCGATCATGTTGATTCCTGATGTGAAGACTGACACTTAAGACTTCTCTTCCTTTGTTTAAACAGGGAGAGTAGCAAATGGTGGATATGTATTAGAAGATACATTAGCACTGAGCAGACTTTCTCACTGAGCAACCAAACTTTAACAAAGAGAATCAACACAGTCATCTAAAGTCATGCTACCTAAAGTCACCTCAGATGCCACCAGTGGGATGAGCCTGTGGGGACATGGTTTCATACCCACCGGAGAGCTTTAGTTTGCCACCAGACTCAACTTTTTATGAGGGTGGCTGAAGGGTTCCATTTATGGCTTTTGCAGGATCCTCTATTCTTCTTCTTCCTGTGGGAAGGAGCTTGTTCTCTGATTGGTAAGATAAATAAGTAGAAAAACTTAGACGATCAGACGACCTAGATCAGCCATTGACTGTTGATGCAAGAGAGAGGGTTTCAAATATAGGGAAACCATAAAGAAACAATAACTTACTGATCTGTTCTACTAACTTGAGCATCACCCCCCCAACATGCAGGTCTCCAGACACTCTCAGTGTGACCTCTTTCTGCTCCTCCTCGTTTGGATGGTCAACTCTGACGATGAGCTCCCAAGAAGCAGACGCAAAGTCGCTGGATGAGAGCATCGTGGCAAATGCAGGCGTCTGCCACAGAAAAAGGAGGACACGGATCAGAATGTGAGAAGGATGCTGGAGCTTGTCAGTAGACCCTGCAGGGCAAAACTTTTTCTCATGTTAGCCTCTTCTTCAGAAACTCGGCAGTGTGTCCAGTGCTCCATATTTAATTCAACATCTTTTTTAGTTTAATGTTATTTATTTATTTGACACAGAGAGAGAGGTCACAAGTAGACAGAGCAGCAGACAGAGAGAGAGGGGGAAGGAGGCTCCCTGTTGAGCAGGGAGGCGATTGTGGGACTCGATTCCAAGACCCTGAGACCATGACCCTGAGACCATGACCTGAGCCAAAGGCAGAGGCTTAACCCACTGAGCCACCCAGGCACCCCTCCTCCGATAAATACTGATGACATCTTCTGCTATGAAAATTCAAAAAATGGGAATATAGGAAAATAGTTTCTATTTCAGTCATATACTATGTAGTTTTACCTTAAATGTATATAAAGATAAAGGTCATTAAAATTATTGTCATGTATTTGACTTATTTGAGCTACCAATTTATGGTATATAAAAGTTAATAAATTAAGTGCATCAATTAAAATTTTGGACATAGCTCCGGCAAAATATTTAAAACAGGAGTGAGAGACGTACAAAGCCCACTCTTCAAAATACGGATGGGGTGAGAACTTCAAAATCAGAGTTTTTCTCTTATTGGAGGAACGAGAATAAAATAAGCTACACAGAATCAAGACTGAAATGTATCAGGGGGTAATAGGAACACTGAAATCTGAAATTGGCAGAATTAAAATTAGGGCTCTTACTTCTAAACAGGAAACAAATGATACTACCACTCCTCACTATTTTAATACTTAAAAGAAAAATTAGTCATTTAAACGATAACACATCTTTTTCACTTCACTATGTAAAGACATCTTAGGAGATGCCCATGTTTTCATAAGGCCTATTTTTGAGAAACATCAGTGCACTCAAACTCCTAAAAAGGGACTTCTCCAAGGGAAAGTGCATGAGTCCCCTGGGATCTTCCTCACCCCAGATTCTGTTCAGCAGATGTGCGGTGCACCTAAATTTTTTATCTATAAGAATTTATAAGAAGCACGAGGTACCACTGGTCTGTGGCTCACAATTTTGAGTCCAAACAGCCACATGAAAAATTAGCTTCAGGACTCCATTCTGCCCTTCAATCTACCCAAATCAATATTAAGCCAGGGACTGTGGTGACACCTGAGGAACATTATTTTTTTTTTTTAAGATTTTTATTTATTTATTTGACACAGAGAGAGAGATCACAAGTAGGCAGAGAGGCAGGCAGAGAAGAGGGGGGGGAGGCAGGCTCCCTGCTGAGCAGAGAGCCCAGAACCCTGAGATCATGACCTGAGCTTAACCCACTGAGCCACCCAGGCACCCCAGGAACATTATTTTTAATAATAATTACACCCCCAGTGGTATACCAGTGTTGTTTGCATTTGAAACCATTCACATTTGAAAGCATAAGAGGGGGGCACGTGGGTGGCTCAGTCCATTAAGCCTCTGCTTTTGGCTCAGGTCATAATCCCAGGACCCTGGGATGAGACCCACACCAGGATCCTTGCTCAGCAGGGGGCCTGCTTCTCCCCTGCTTGCCTGATTCTCCCCTGCCTGCTGTTCACCCTGCTTATGCTTGCTCTGTGTCTCTCTCACTCACTCTGTGTCAAATAAATAAGTAAAATCTTTATGGAAAAAAAAAAAGAAAGAAACCATAAGAGAATCTCAAAATACACAAAAAAATCTCAAAATACACAAAAAATACCCTGCAAATCTGAATGGGCTTAGAACAGATTTTATTTGTCCAAGTCGAATTCGAGAGTTCAGAAGTAGCTCTTGTGTGTTTGTATGACCAAAAGGGATGTAATGCTTGTACCTCCCCATGCACAGATCTCCTGCATGGCCAGTGAAGGCTACGTAATGACTATATTGGGCCTAACCACTTGCATCACTGTCATCATCAGGCTCAAGTATCACTGTGTGATATACTCTGTTTGAACCACTATTTTGTGTTATCTCCTTCATCGGCTCAACAGTCCCCTTGGAAAGGAGGAAACTCGGGCTCAGAGAGGTTAGGCAACCTGTGGGAAGCCTCACAGCGAATTAGATGGCGGCGCCCAGACAGAAATCCAAGTCTTTCCAACTCTAAACTCTTAGCCATTACCCTGGGTCAGGTCTTTCATAAAGTTGAAACACCAGTATGAAATAAAACTCTTAAAACCACATTAGCTAAACTCTCAGGAGGCTTCACTAAACATTTCTACTAATATCCTTCCCAGTGAGGAAGCAATAAAGATAACTCCATACCGTGGCATTGAACTATTTGACATTAAGACCCTCACAATTTCTAAACTGCTATGGTTCGATGTGTAGTTATTTTAAAAATTTGTACTTTAAAGTGACTCTACTGCTTGTTTCTGCAGTATTAGACATTGGTCTCTTCCTAACTTGGGCAATCAAAACCCTTCTCAAACAAAAACAACAAAAAAAGAAAACCCACTTCTCATGCAGTTAATAATATACTGTGATTCCCTTACAGCGAAATTCAGGCTTAAATTGGACAATCTGGTTTCCCCGCATTCCTCTCCTATCTTTCTGCACCTTCAGTGAACTTCTCATTCGCAACAAGCTGCTACTTGTAGAGGGGAGCAGCAAACTCCAACTGGGAAAAGACATCGAAGGAGCCCAGAACAGAAAGCCAAGAGCGCCAGTTGACCTGCCTTCCCTGGGAAGGGAAGTCCTGCAGTCCACCTCCTTCTGTCCTCCTTGTCTACAGAAAATGCAACGAAGGACAGACAGCCAGCCAGGCAGACAGAAAGATGAGGGGAATAGCCCCCATGCTTCCCCTGGAATATCAGAGAGTGTGCCTGTCCAAAGGCCACTCCACCTGTCGGTTGCCAGTCCTGCAGGGTCCTTGGGCCAGAGGGGGTGAGGTGGGTGGACAGAAACCTGCCCCTTTACCCATAGGGCGGCCCCCGCGGCTAAACGGAGAGTTTATGTTGCCGGGCCAGATACACAAGGCCAGACAAAGTGGCCACACGGACGGTATTTTTAATTCCGCAGCTATTTACGTGCAAGGGGGGCTGAAGAAAGGAGAGCAGGGGTCTCCAGCCAGGGCGGCGCCCGTCTCAGCTTCCCCCGCGCCCCGAACCCCAGCCCCAAGCCCTCCGCACCCACCTGCTTTCCGGACACGGGGGGCGCGCAGCCTTGCGGACGCGCACGTGGACCCCTGCGCCCCCGGAGTCCTGGCGGAGGCGCCCCAGGCCTGGCGGGCGCGCGAAGCGGGGTGCCGGGGTGGGCGCTCGCGGCGGCCGCTCGAGGCTAAGGCTGGACCCACGGGGAAGCCGCCCGGGACCTCCCGCCGAGGCTCGGCGCCCGCCCCCGGCAGCACGCGGGGCGCGGGGTGCGCGGTCTCTGCCCTGCGCGGACCCCGGAGGCCCGGCCGAGGCCGGCGCGCGGCGGGGCAGGTGAGGGCACGCCCAGCCCCGGGCCTGCTGGGTCTCGCTCCCGGGGAGGGGAAGCACTAGGCGGCAGAGTCCGGAGGGCTGAGGGTGCCCGCAGGGCTGCGGCGCGGCGGGAGGGCGGGGAGAACTGGGGCGGACGCCCGTCGCCTGCGCCCCTCGAGCGAACTCTCCACCGGCCCCTCGCAGGCCTCCTCCTGTTTCTGGGGTTCCCGAGACCCTGCAGGGCCTAGCCCAGGTGGCTGAAGTCCGGCTCCGTGCCCTGCCCTCCAGGTACACCCATCACTCCCACCCCCGTGTGCGTCCGGGTCCGGAGACTCCCTTCTCCCCTTTAAAGAGCCTGGGGGACCTGCGAGCGCCGGGTGGAAGAAACGAGAGCGGCTCATCTCTGAGTAAGAGGGTGATGTAAACCCCCGACAAGGGCGAGGCGCCCAAAATATGCACAATGCGAGACCCGGGGGCAACTCAAGGCCATGCCCCAGGCCGGAACTGGGCGGCCCGCCTCAGATTCATCGCCTCGTCTCGCCGGTGACCTTCCTGTCGGATTTCCTCCCAAAGAAGGCTGGACCACCCTGGAAGGGTTGGTGACTTTGGCCAATGTGCACAACCTGTCCAAGCCTCTTTGGTTCATATTACACACCTCTGAGGAGTGTTTACGACATGCCAGGCATCGGGCTGAGTTCTATGGATGCAGTGGTTTAAGGAGACAGTCAGGGCCTTGATGTCTTCCTCATCTGTGAAATGGGTAGAGGTGGAATGTCCACCACCAACCAGTGCGAGATTTCGTTCAGTCCATGGCAGAACTTCCTGCAGTATAATATAGACTTTAGCGATTTACACCAAGTATATGGCGCGTGATAATTTAAAATGCTATCAAATTTAGAAATGGAATCCTTGTTTTTCTTGCACATTACCATATTCAGCCATTATAATGGTTTTTAAATATTTTACATTTAATTTTAAAAAAGGTTAGTTGACTTTAATTTCAGGGTTGTAATTTCGAGCCCCTGTTTGGGTGTACAGATTACTTAAAAAAAATAATAACATTCTTAAAAAGATCAGTTGAGGGGCGCCTGGGTGGCTCAGTGGGTTAAGCATCTGTCTTCAGGACAGGTCATGATTCCAGGGTCTGGGATGGAGCCCCTCATCGGACTCCCTCCCCAGCAGGGAGTCTGCTTCTCCCTCTACCCTTCCCACCTGCTCATGAGCCTGCTTTCTCTCCCTCTCTCTGTCTCTCTCAACTAAATAAAATCTTTAAAAAATTTTTAAAAATAAAAAGATAAGTTGAATAATTGTTAGCAAATATGGGATTTTAAAATTAAAACAAAATAATTTAAACATGAAACTGAATTTCTTGATTTGGTAAATTTTGTCACCTATTGGAAGGGCATCGACTGTGATCGGTCCCACTTCCCTACGTACCCAATACCAACAGCACAATTATGTTATCTTAGGCAGAAAGTGTCTAAAGTCTTGCTTTGTGGAGACTGTTCGTGGCTGCTTAGAACATAGACATTCTTTAAGA